TCACTCTAAAAATTGCCTAGCGCATCGGTTAATACTGGACGCGTCCATGAGATGCTGACGGTTGTATGTTGTAGTGTTCCTGAATCCAACGCGAACTTCATAAAAGACAAACTGTTATACGACCCAAAACTGTTTACTTCCATGTGGTTAACAATGGGCGTCCAAGCTAAAGCGACTAGCATGGTTCGCATCGTAAGGCACCCAAATGTGACCAACTGCAGAAAATTACGGTCATTGAAAGTGACATGACAATCAGCAAATGATGTTGAGGCGCTTTTTGGTCAGTCAATCGTCTTCGAACTTACTCATGTGGCGTTCGGGTTTTCCCAACCTCTCTTAGAGCGTACGTCAGCACAGAAAACAAAACGTTGATGATTAACATCTTTGGAACAACAAAAAATGGGTTTTTATTCATGGCGCAGCAGAGCTTCAAGAACCTCATAATCAGGAAGTCCATGTCCATGATTATGGGGAATGATGCTACCTTCAGCAGACAATTCACTCGGCAACGGATCACCAAGTCAATCACTTGACTATGCACAACATCATAGTACAGAGAGTGTGGCCCCAAGGTGGCGGAAATAATGCTGCATTCCAAACACATGGCGGAAAAGGCAATTGAAACATAACGAAGTAACGTAAGCAGCTCCCTTCAGGGTTGCACAAAACTTTAACATTAAACCCCAGGTAACCGAGAGAGAGGGTTTAGTAAACTCCAGTAAGTCTTACTCACAAAACGGCTCATCGTAAGATAACACCAACTCTTGAAGGGGCAGCAAATATCCCAATACTAAGACAAGAACTTCGTCATATGATATTGGCACCAGTCAATATGAAGCGGCTCTAAGCAAAATACCAGCAGTTCACTAAAATCGATTAGTTGCTAACCTCAGAAGGGTCGGTAAAATCTCAAGCTTAACATTCGCATGCCAAGCTACGCTTTTGGCTTTTAAAGCACTCCCTTGTATGTATAAAAATGCTTAAGGCCTCTTCAACGAATTATCTCAGCCTTAATCTCATCATACCTTGATGTTCGTGGACCTGGTAATGATAACTGATTGACCCATGAAATCACAAATGTTGAGATCGCCATACCAAGTATGTCCGCACCACGTAAATATCGATCTGGCGGGTGAGGTAGTGTAATGTTTTACCATCGCATTGACCTATGTCTCCAAGTTGTGGATGACAAAGAGGTTGAAAAGTCAAGCCCACTTTGGCGCTGCTTTCAACTAAGATATGGTGACGCATGTTTAGTTACCACAGTATACCATCCTGTCATGTCCCCTCTGGAAATATACAACCGTCTAGCTTCTACTCTGAAAAGCCTTCTGGTTCAGCAGTACAGTCACATTCTCCTTGTGGGGGACGTCAAGTTGCAAGCTATAGAGGTTCCCGTCTCCGCTGGTGAGCAGTGTAAGGCCGGATTGCAAGATTTAGTCGCTGTTCTGGCACTTTATAATTTTCTTACGTCCCGTAGAAGATTCAGAACAGAACTAACACGCCATTCTATATCTCACCTTTACTAATGAGAGTGAGTAGCCTCTTGGGACACACTGCTCATAAAACACTGCCGTTTTTCTACCTCTGCTGCACAGAACAGTTCCACAGACACATCGAGGAGGTCTGTAGTACAACATTTGATCCGACCTCATCAATGTCACTGATTGGTCGTTTCTAGCAGCTGAATCCCTAATGTCTCCTGGGCGGAGTTAGTCAATCGATAGAATACTTTAGTAACAAACATATCGGAAACTAAGACCCTTAGCTCAAAAAGTAAAACTCTTCCTCAGTAGCTAGATGCAAAGGAATGACCCTGAGAAATTCCCTTTGGAAAGCATATAAATCCGATTCAACCGCCGGAAACCGTACCAATCTCACATATATCATATCACCACCATGACTTAGCCGCATTTCCTTCACAGCTGCCGCTTTGCTTATACGACTACAGTCACTACATAAGTACTGTTCATCTGGTCTGGATAAAATGCGCCCGAAATCTTTGTTGGTAGCCTCAAGGAGTTTGGCTGCAGCATTCTCTCGGTTTTTCCAGCGCTGTCTAGATGTTATGCAGGCCAAAACAATGTGGACGTGTGAAAAAGTCCCTTCATTTAAAATGGAGGCACTCGTGCTGTGCTCACAAAAACATACCACCCGATTACTCTTTTTTCTGTGCTAGCTAAATGTATGAAAGCTGTCGTTGCTGATGCACTCGTGGGATATGTGGTAAGGTGCAGTAATATCGTGCGTAAGCTGCATGGATTCTACCAAAGCCATTTATGTACCACAAGCATTTTGTTAGCCCATGCTTGCTGGACGGAATCCTTCGATGCTGAAGGGGAAGTTGAGGCCCCATCCCTTAAATTCTCGAAGGCATTTGATGACCTACATCATCACAGTATTCATTTTGGGCCTCGTAGCTATGGGACATCTGAGCCTATCCTTGGCTAGATACATTTAATCATATTTCAACGAGTTTTGTAGGTGCTGGTTCATAACGCTCTGTCCGACCATAAAGAGGTTTCATGTGGTGTCCCTCGATGCCCGGCGCTAGGACCACGGCTATCCTTGGTGTTCGTAATCGATCTGGCGGGAGAGTTGACTTAAAATTTTCTACTGTTTACGGACAACCTCAAGATTTGACTGGCAATCAAGTGTATGCACAACCACACTGCCTTGCAAAGTGATCTCGACAAGGCTTACGTGTGGTCGAGGCAAAATTGCTTAAGTTTAATCCGGTCAATGGCAAATTACTGATCATACGCCACAATAGCACCTACGAATATCGACTGGGATGACAAGTTTTGCAGCGTGCTTCCCCTGTGAGGGGTCTTGGGGTGTATAATGATCACGGATACGCAAACCAGGCCAAGAAGGCACTGAAAATACCAGTCAACACTTGGGCTTAGTGCAGTGGGCAGTTCGAGCTTACTGTCTTTTCGCACATTCTCAATGCTTGTGTGTAGCCACATGTAGCATACGCTACGCAGGTGTAGAACAAATGGCAAAATACTGATGTTACTGCTCTTAAGAATCAAAAACGATGGGTGACAAAGATGGTAAGGAACTGCTCCACCTTGTTATCCTTTTAGACCAAAAACAATAAGAGTTTTAAGTGAACAATATCGTCTTCAGCGAGAAGCTTTCATATTGGTGTATCAGATCCTCAAGTATCCTAACCACCGATGCTGACTCTGATTGACACTCAGTTAAAACAAATAAGTGAGGGGCAATCATTTGAAGTTGACGACACAGCATTGCCGCCGTAATGTTTTCTCCACTCGGTTTACCAAGCCTTAGCACTTAATACTACCTTTTCAAGTCAAGTCAACGATGCGCTTTATGCCCCCTCAAACAGTAACTATTCAGCTACAACACATAAGCTAAGGGCACAAATAAAATTAAAGTAAGATATAACTAACGTGTATGGTATTCCGCCAATTTGAAAAGGTGACAATGGAGATATCATCCAGTCAGTCTGACAATAAGGTCATGTTTGACTACATCCGCATCCCTCAGCAAATGTAACAATAATGGAACAACTGATGTACCGTAAGCCGGTGTGCAGGCATACATGGCTTTGTAATTTTGTCTGGCCTAAGAAATCGTGATAACTTCTGACACTGCACGATGAACAGGGTGACTGGCATCAGTGAGTACCTCGGGAGCCAATTTTTGCAGAAGCGAACATGATTGGGCACAATGATGTAGGTAAACACTAACATAGAAATTCGGCTGCATTGAGTAAGAGGCTTTAGCAACCTGAATTGCCCGATTAAGGTTCCAGGAAATATCACAGATGAACAATACGTCCAGTGTGTATTGCGCAAACGATGACACACCGCAAAATCAAGTAACGAGGAACGGATGAAGACCTGAGTCGGGTGACGTAAAACGTTAGTCTCCTGACTCCAGTGAATGTTTCATTCAGGTGATGGGAGTACATGATATCCCGATTTAATGTAAATCCTAGATAATTCACTAATGTGCAGGAGTTCGAATTGACACCGTCAATACTAAGATGCGAGGTGTGCATCCGCAGCTGTCGATAACAATTTTCCCCGGACGGCGAGTAAAGTACCCCTTTACACATTGACGCGTTGAGGGAAAGACTGCGGGATTTGGACCAGGAGGTAAGGTTGTCCAAGAAGCATCGCAAGTCGGCCGATGAATCGGTGGTTTGATTGTGTACATCAAGGATCATGTCATTAGCAAGCCTCGTTTTAGTTTGGGAAAGGACTGCAGAGTAGAAAGATATAGCAGCTAAGCTGCTTTCGATGCACTTTTAATTTGATGCAAGGAGGTATATTTTCCTTTCTAGCTGTCCATATTTGGAATAGTATCAAAACGAGGAATACTTTTTTTACAATATTCCAAAGAACTATACGTACCTCAGTTGACTAACATTGTCATATTGACTCCGGTTAAGCTTGAACTTAGCTTTAATTATTAGGTGAACGGGTTGCTTGTGTATATGCATTAAAACTTGATGTGACGAAGCTGATTTCCGATAATCCTCGTCCTCCAGTGACATCTACTGAATTCCATACAATCAGAGTACAGCGACTCTCGTGAATTGTGAGCTGCGCTGGGCTGCTTATATAGGGTTCTGTGAGTTGAAATCACTGAACAATGTGCGGAATGGATTACAGTTCACAATTTTCTTGACAGATCATTTGCACCCAATCTGCGTACTGCGTTGTGAGACGTACTGGTACACTGGCATGTAAGGTTGATTTATGATGAATTCAGTGACGCAAAGCATACCAGTCTAATAGTAACCCGATTAAAACAATATTCTTTTTGACAAACTATCATATTTGTAAAATAAATTTTACCGTAGCCTGGAAACTGCCCCTGTCAAACACTGTCAACCAATCATAGAACTACGATTTGAACCACATTAAATGCACAGTGTGCTGTTTTACCTTCGGTATTATACTCATTACGATGTTCATGATGATCCTCAAGGGGTCGCTATTACGTATTCTTACTATCAGGCCGGAGATTTCTAAAAGAGACTTTGAGAATCTTTTACCTTGGAGTGCAAGAATACCTACTCCGTCAGATGAAGGGTGGATAGTGAACGCAGCTGGCATACTATACAACAGCCACGCTGGTTATGGTCTATTGGACTGCACCCAGCTAGTCCAGTTGGCCAAGCAGTGGCATCCTGTTGGACCGTTGTGCATCGCCCGTAGCAGCCATGGGTCAGATATGGGTAAGAAGTGGGCACACCATCAGGATACGTATCCCAAAGATAAAGACTTTCATTCCCTTGATAGTCAAGAAGAGGTGCTGCAATTTCAGAAGAAACAAAAGGCGTTGAGAAAAGGGTAAGCCATTAAAAATTTTAATAAAGGCCATGAAAATTATAAAGCCTTGTCTTACCCAGCACTGAGTGTATGTTTAGAGCTTCATTTTGTTTCCGTCAACTGTCTCAGGTTCTTTGTGATTTCTCTTCTACCATCTAAACATCGAGTGCTTTTGGAAGTGCTTCGATATAGTGAATATCCTCTATCTTTTTACAGTACAATGCAACTGTTGGTCTAAGTTTTTAATTTAGTGTGACGCAGAAATGGAGCAACTATATTTCAATATTAGTGATTACACCGTTATGCTGCATTCATATTGACTGTCTTTTGGAAATAAAGTAGCTCATAAGCACTCGACACATTAATCAGTACGTTTCCGTTGATGGACACGACTTTCGAAACATAGAGTTCATCATTGCTTATTAGCTCTACTCTTGTTCGCCATGCAATGAACAGCAAAATTTATGGTCACCACCGTTATTTAAAAAATCTACTTTTATTTAAATTCTATAAAAGTTGTTGTGAAGGTTGATTTTCCGCAAACAGAAGATATATTCAGTAAAAATGATGGAGCCATCTGCAAATTCTTGCCAACTGGTACTGCGATGCAGCTAAAAATTTAACGGCGTTTTTCACTTCACGGTAGGTCACACTGCAACCCATTTTGACAAGGCAACAAAAGATCACTGGGTTCCTCCAGGTGTCATTACTGTCAGCCAGTTAAGTGCACCGTGCAGACGGAAGAGCTCCTACCATGTGACCAGAGATTTGCCTCCTTCAACGTTGTCGATGGTTTCTGCTAGAGTCTGACTGACTACTTGGTCTGGATCCGAGAATTAACCTGTCCTATTTGGTTGGCCACTCATCAAGATAGGTGTAAGGGGTATAATGGCGAAACGAACACATATATTATCTCCAGTTGTAAAAGTACCTTCAAAATTTCCATGCTACTCTCTTGTTCTGTAAAGCTCATATTTATTGAAATGTCTCGAGTAGAGGACATTTTCTTTGTCTTTTCTTGGTGGGGCACTGAAGTGCTTACAAAAATCTGACCGGCATCTATGTGAGCAACTAGAGATGATGACTATTAATGTTGCCTGTGCAGATGATCCGGATGCGCGCCCCCATACGATGTCACTCAAGAGGTATTAAAATATGAAGTAATGCTAAAGGGTAAGGATGTCGAACTCAAGGCAGTGCACCGTGTACTCGCAAGGAATAAGTGATCAGACTCTTCGCACAGTGGAAGAAGTGAACGACTATGCTTTTCATACAACATCCACCGCTAGAACATGCTAAAGCCACGAAGATTCAAACTTTACTAAACGCCAAGGTCGCTTTCCATACCGAGATACTGGATGTGCAGTTAAGGGATAGCATAACCAGAAATGGTTTTCCGGAAGTCAATTGCGCTGGGCTAGGTCAAATGCAAAGTGAAGAAGTTCCTTGCTCTCCTTCTAGCGAATGGACTTGATAATCCTGTATTAGAGGGGTACCATGCTTTTCATCACGATTATTCTACATGTTAATCCGGGGGGGGTGAGAAACCCTCAGTTATGAGATGCTGCCATCCAATTGAGTCAGGTAGTAGTAAAGGAAAAAACAACAACTAAGTGAAATAAAAATAGTATTATACTTTGTTTTACATGATACACTAATAAGGAGACCGTGGTTTAGGAGGCAGGCTGAGTAAGATGTGGCGTGATAAAGAAACGCACAACAGAAACCCCGGTGAGGTTAGTTCTTCGCCCTGTCGACAAGTTTAATTAACCGGGCGTGTTCACCGTATTTTGGGCTCGAAACAGGAAGTCGGGATGCTCCAACCGAGGTCACATTCATAGTGAGGAATTCTGTTCCACTTGACCATGTCATCGGTTGGTCTCCCACTTCTTTCATCTGGACCCCGCTTGCGCAAGCAGTGGATGTCGCGGGAGTCGGTGAGCTAACATGAGCAAAATGTAGCCCAGCAATTGCAGCTTGGCGCATGAAATAATGGTGCTGGGCGATGCATTCGCTCATCTTGCGCCAAAAACAACGGGTGAACATGCCCATTGTTCACACATTGTTCCAAGCAGACATGAGATAAACTTAGAAAGCAGTAGTGGCTGTAAGGAACTAGCTTGTTTATACTTGTCTATCAAATGGGCCACGTTTTCCAACCATTCCGAAAGGTTAAATGCATGGTTCCATCGTAGGCGCTGCCCTTCTGAGCGATGTTGATGTCGTGCCTGCGTCACAAGTGGTAAAGTTTGACAAAAGCGCCTCAAATTTTTGTTAGACGGCTCGGGATCCCATCCCATAATAAAGTGGCGGTGATATACCTGCCTAAGTAGTTAAATATCTGTAGGTCCTCGAGCTAATACCCACCTAACCTCAACACAGGGAGCGGTTCCTGCAAACCTTGGATGTACGCTTTGCATTTCGATGGTGTAAAGCAAAGCTCAAAACTGCTGGCAGCTGGTGCTAATCCGTCCATTGATGATTGACATATTCCTGAGCTGTCACAGATGAGTATAACATCGTGGGCACACTCCAAATTAAAAAGTCGCCTACCTGGAAGCAGACCCACACCTAAGTAGTGTTCAGTGAACGCAGTTTTCATGACTTCGTCGATGGCGGAGGTTCCAGCGGGCATTCCTGTTTCACACGGCAGGAGGCAGTAAAGGGCGGCGACAGTTTACTATAAGCTCTCAATCTACATTAGATACACAGCTAAAACGCTTAGGTAATGTTTACACATTTCTCGGGCAACCTCACTTAAGCATACAATTCCAAACGGCAAGTCGGCTCTTGGGATCGAGGGCACTTTTAAAATTGCGAAAAACGACTATAGTGGGACCCCGATGTAAGTGGCTCTACTCCAGCAACTGACATTATGTCGACAAAGTTCAGCTTCATGCTTTAGTTTACACGGGTACCAGTCAACCTGCGAAGGACAAATGAGGAAATCAACTTGGAGGCTGTGGAAATCAGACTGGTTCCATTGAGATTGCTGCATTTCGAACTTGAGTCCACCTTGAAGATTGGAGCAATAACGGAGCAGTTCAACTTGGTTGGAACAGTTCCGTGCTCCCACAGTTTTACTAAGAGGTTGAGTAAATCATCCACAAGAGTAGGTAGCCTTAATTTAAAGAAAACTGAAGGATGAGCAGATGGTCCCGCGGCCTTGTGTAACGTCAGCAGTCCTCGCTTACGTTCGACTCCTGCGCGAGAGAATCGAGCCAAAGGGAGGGCTAATGCAACAGGAGAGCACTGGCTGCAAACTTTACTGTCTCCGGCCAAGTATGTCACTATTCAAAGTGCTCAAACCAGGGATTTAAGCTTTTTGAGAAACTGTGGTTAGGATGTCCAGTTTCGTGGCAAATAGTCTCGCTAACACCAGGTCTCATGCTGCACGTATCTCGAAAGATTGCTACGGAATTATTTTCCGTACCGCAGTCCGTCAGACGATACTTGGCAGCTGATCTGGTGGAGTTTGCGCCGTCCGAATGAAATGAAATTCATTTAGACTACACCATAAGCCTTTCAAATTTTCAACTTCTCTTTTGACGCCGAACCTTTAGTCAACGGTCTTTTCTTGGCCTCGGAGGATTCCTCTCGGGATTATGCTACTGATTTTGCTGGCAAAATGACTAAACGTGAGGGGATATTGGTTCCAGTTCAGCTAGTCAATATAATCAGTGCAGAGACCTATTTACATTTTCCAGTAATTAGATACTTATGACTTTTATTTTAGGCACTTGGGATAATGGCTTTTCTTCTTTAGGGGAATCAAGCAACTTGAAGAACATAAATGTTTATAAGTTCGGTTATGATAAATAAAATGGATTTAATTCCGTATCCTTTGTTTCATCTTTATCGGTAGACCAAAACAGTGCAATCTTGACCCTTAGTAGCTCTCAATTCTCAGTCTTGTACTGATAAGTAAAAGTGCTATACCCGTAGTATGGAGGAACATCAATTTGAACATCCCATTGCCATGCTTATTTGATCAACGGATTCCTACGCTCTCTAACCACGCACTAATCATCCGTTATGAATTATTGCCTCAGTCAGCGGAAGCATAACGGTCATGCGCTTCTTTGGATACTGCTGCATCCAATGGGAAGCTGTCAAGCCACAAAGCCCATGATTCACAGTGCAGTTATCTGTGTCATATTCATAATCGAACTGTCAATGCAAGTGGGAGAGAATTTGTGTTTAACAAGCCAAACAAGCACTCATGCGTTCAAAACAGTTGTTATGAGGTTTGAATGGTATTAGCAAAAATCCATTACATCTACTTATTGGTCCCCAAAAACAGACCGGTAACAGTTGAGTTTTGGGTTCGCCCCACACAATATTCGGATGAAATGCGTACGGTTGATGATTATCTAAGGGATGAAACGGCCATAGAGTGACTTTCCAGGAGTGTGGTGGCTGTCTTGCTGGGTCTAGATACCATGGATTGCTACTTATACTCATGAGTTCACAAAGAATAATTAAGAAATGCTTTTGGTCACGCCGCACCATTGTACGTGGGTCAAATGGTTTCCTTTGATTCCTGACCACCAGCGTCAACACTGAATACTGAACTTCCCATTGTACTGCACTGTATGAGATGCATCGCATGACTACGGACAATACAGCTATGATCGAAAATTTAGGATCACACAGTGTATTTAGACCTCAAAACTGTGTGTCTGTCGCTTTGTTGTTTCAAAGAGTATAGTTGACTCAATCCACTGCACAACCAGTGGCTGTCTATCAAAGCCGCACTACTTGAGTTGAAAGACTTAGTATCTTATGGTGATCGCATGGTCTGCGTGTAGAGCTGGGCATTAGTGGGATCTTATGCGAACGAGATGTAGCCTCCATCCTGAGAGTATGAAATTCGAATGGCCAGATCAGTGATACACAGATACTATGCAGAAATGGTAGCCATTAGTGCAGCAAACAAGGGAAGCGGGCAATAAACAATCAGCAGGACAGTCGGCCAAATATCACTGATGTGATAAGTAGCAGGACAAATGCGTCACAAGAATTTCATGAACAAGGGATGTGTGACTCAACATTAGCTTGATTTGGCGCAAAGGAGGTGGGGCGTTTCATTGTACAGCAGCAGCAGCAGCAGCAGCAGCAGCAGCAGCAGCAGCAGCAGCAGCAGCAGCAGCAGCAGCAGCAGCAGCAGCAGCAGCAGCAGCAGCAGCAGCAGCAGCAGCAGCAGCAGCAGCAGCAGCAGCAGCAGCAGCAGCAGCAGCAGCAGCAGCAGCAGCAGCAGCAGCAGCAGCAGCAGCAGCAGCAGCAGCAGCAGCAGCAGTAACAACAACAACAACAACAGCAGCAGCAACAACAACAGCAGCAGCAGCAGCAGCAGAAGTAACAGGGAGCGTAAAGTTGATTTGGCCCATTGAGAATCTGAGTATTTGCGCTAGTTGAACGCTGGTCAGTCAGGGATATTAAATAGAACCGAGACATCCAAATGTGTGGACAGACCATTTGTTAACTGGTAAGGTGTAGTTGATCCTTAACAGCTCCCTAGATTTTTCTCAACATCTCAGTTGGATAACCGACAAATCCACCATAGACTGTTTCCCTTAGCTTCAGCAAGTTCGGACCCAGCCAGCAACCAGTGGTCTTGTGGTGGATGTATTTGCCCTAATTATCACCTCCAAACCTTAGGTGCACCTATTCCTCCTGTTATAAACTTCAACCCAATGCCTACAGCTGTTTGCCAGTTCGTCAGTCTCTCTTGATGTACGTAGCCAAGTTAAGAAAAGTGTAATGTGTTTCCCGACGCAAGGAATTTGTGCGCCGGTAATCATGGTGGCCTGACTGATTCGTGGAACTATCGACAGATTCGACGACAGGTTTCGTATTTGGCTGCGCTCGTTAAGCGGAGATATAAGGGTACTGCAGCTCGACCCTGCTACACGAAAGTTGCCATAAGCCACTGAGTCGCGGAGACGCTTGCCCGAACGATTCCACCATAGCAGCTGAAACCATCTGTCTCTAATATAATGACGTATTTATATTGTCCTGTAACTTTTCGCACTATTTTTGCAAACTAGCATTAAAGTATTAATGTTGCAGCAAAACAAGACTAAAAACCCAACAGTTTGTTTTAAATCTTAAAGCACGTTTACAGTAGTTGTCGGCGATTGCTGTGGGCATTTGTAGATTCCATTACAAAATATCTTCTATGGGTCAGATGTAATAGGTCTCAATATCAAATTTTAGGCGCCCAAAAGCAATAGTTGTGCGAAAAAAGAAGATGGCCACAATCGTGATTCCAATACACAAACCAACATATCCAGTTGGTGGTACCGAACAATGCACTCCGGATGTGGTTGAAAAGGTGATAGCAACATTCCAGTGGAGCCACATCTGCCGAGGAACTATGTCCATTACGCTTAAGAGCCCTTCGCAAACCCGTGTGCTACTTCTGGGTCCTCGCTCCGCTGATTACTATTCTGGTGAGGGATCAATCAACATCACATCGGTTGCCTTCTGGGGGGAAGATGTGTACGGGGATTGGACAATAGAAGTAAGTCAGATGATTGTATTATTGACCATTGGAAAATGGAGCAACGTTTTTCATCGGTCTTGAAGTAGCCAGTGTTGGTTTGTAAAATCACTTGTGTTCCCGGGAACACCAAACAAACGGTATAAGTTTCAAAACCAAAATATCACGTGACTACCCACTCCAAGGAATTGTTAGAGCATCTTAAAGTGGTTAGCATAGCATTTGTACCCATGTCCTGGTTTAACCCTAGAAAATCTTCCCTGGAAAATGACGCTCTATGTCGTTCGTCAAGTTTCGTCAATTTCCGTAGAGGGTGACTCTGAATACCTCATGGTCTCGGTGAAGTTGATATAGAAAATGGTGGTATAGGTGAAGTCGGCCATCCCAGGAGTTCAACCGTTGAAAGGACTTCAAACCAACGTCGGGCGCCGTAATATTAACTGGGAGTTAGCGTCAAGTTGCAGAAACCAGTTGCTCATGTAAATTAAAACTCGAAGACGCTTGGTACAATGGAACAATGGTTTATTACGGGTAAAAAAGCATCGCTTAACAAGTCCCGTGGGATGAAAATTATTGCGAAAATCAATTGCATGATAAAGTGAAAAGCGTTGTGGTGGACTCACCATAGACTTATGTGGAATAGCGGAGATGTTCGCGTATTAAACGTATAAATCCATAAATCCATTGGTTAGGCGTTTGGCAAGACACCGTTTGATTGTGTTTTGTAGCCCCTGGCTAACAAGTCATAAAATGAAATGTAAGTGAGACAACGCGTCGTCAACACGTTTTTTAAATATCGCCAGATTGGGAGCAGAGATGACATAATTAGGGAGAGCGTTCCAAGGCTGGCACACGCGGAGAGAAAAGAAATTTCTACGGCATTCAAGCCGGCTATACTGAATTGTCAGTTTCAGAGGGTGACCTCTTCGTTTAGTGTTGTGGTTCAATTCCAGCAGCGAACGGCAAATGTGGTTCGGGTTCTTCAGAATCTGGTAAACCATTATGAGATCCCCCCGCAAAAGCCGATATCGACTACTGTACATTCTTAGAGATTTCAGTCTAAGCTTATAGGGCAGATGAAAGAGGCCCCTGACGTTCTTGGTTGCCCTTCGTTGAGAAGTCTCGAGAGCAACGAGATCCTGTTTCTGCCACGGCTGCCACGCCTGAATAGCATATTTCACTTGAGATCGCACGTAGGCGTTAAGCATTTGGGGAAATGTTCAGGGTTCAAAGGGACCGAAGGCTCTGCAAAGAAGGCCGGTCTTGATTTCCGGTTCTCGTCGCCTTCTCTACTTGTTTTGAACACCCGAGATCTTCCTGTACCAATACACCCAGGTCACGCCCCCTGTGAAACCTTCTCCAGGATGTAGTCTCCAATCTTGTAAGCGCTCACCGGCTGGTGACGTAGATGTATCACTTTACGCTTAACCTTGTTCAATTGATGCTTGTTCCTCTTTGGCCATTCGTAATGCAATCTAAGTCATGTTGGAGCAGATCCTGATCTGGCTTGTTTCTAATCGCCCGACGTACCTTGACGTCATCGGCGAAATACAGGAAAATTTGAGGAGATGACTCTTGCCAGGTCGTTGATAAACACCAAGAATAAACGCGGCCCCAGCACTGAGCTTTGTGGGACACCACATTCCACCTCAATTGGGTTAGAAAGTGATCTCCTAACACGTACTTGGAGCTTTCGTTGGTAAAGGAAGTTGCCAATCCAACCAAGTACAGGATCTTCGATTCCGTAACTCTGAAGCCGTTGAAGTAGGATGCAGTGATCAAGGCGGTCGAAAGCTTTGGAGAAGTCCATATAGATGACGTCGACTCCGACCCCAATATCGGCCACTTCCGTCCAATTTCCTCGTGCAATAACTAGGTTGGTGGTGCATGACCGGTGTTGACGGAAGCCATGCTGTTCCGGTACCAACATGTTGTATTTTTCCAGGTTGTCCATTACAGCCGCAGCGACGACTGCTTCCATCAACTTCGCGAGCACAGGAAAGAGAGTCACTGGAGGATAGTTTGCAGGATCTGAACGGCTACCGCCTTTAAAAACAGGGGTGATAATGCCACACTTCCACATAGTGGGGACTTGTTGTTCATCAAAGCACCTGTAGAAGAACTGGGACAGTGGTTCAGCTAGCTTATTAGCCACAGCCTTCAGTGCCTTCGGTCGGATGTTGTCTGCTCCCGGAGAACTATGCTCACGCAGTGAGAGTAACTTCCTTAGCACAATTGATGGGTTGAAAATTACATTTGTAAACAATGGTGTCAGTAATGTGCTTGATATTCTGGGACAGGTAGAGGTTGCGAGTTCAAAAATTGGGGCGTATGGCAGCCGCAGGGCATTAGCTGCTTCTTCGGCACTTTGTACTCTACCGCCTGTCGTGAAAAGTGAAGGGATTCCATGCTTCACTTTACGAAGCTTATTGACATGCCTATATAGTAGTTTGTTGTTTGCCATGAATTTTTTGGCTAAGCACTGTTGATAAGTTACTTTGTCCTCACAGACAATTGCAGTGTAATGGTTGCGATAGGTCAGGAAATTTCACCAAGTCTTTGAGTCGGGGTTAATCTTGTAGGCACGCCATGCTGCACCCCTTAGCGCCAAACATTTTCGAGTCCTACTCCTTAGAATTGAAGGCATTTTCGCAGGACGAACGGGTTTGGTCTCTGATGCTTTGTTGACGATGTCGCTGGGTCCATTAACGAATTCTGCACAAAAGTTGTCAAGTGGACTTTTGTTTGAGAATTTCCAAGCAGCTGCTTCGGCGAGTTCTTTCAATACGTGGTAGCGTGTGATCGTATGGGTTAGTTCCGAGTGTCCAGATGGCTACTCTGCATAACACACATAGTCAAACTTTATCACTACATGGTCACTGAGACCTAATGGACTACCCATCAATAACTTGTCAACAATGAGCTCTTCATTCGTGAGCACAAGGTCCAATATGGACGGTTTGTTTGCTGTCCTGAACCTAGTGGGCGTGGTGACATGATTGTACAAAGGAATATTAGAGATCAGTTCATGCAAGTCTGTTTTGAACTGCTCACTGGACGATGCCGAAACCTCCATATTGTGTAGATTGAAGTCCCCGGAGATGAGAATGTGGCTGTATCTAGTGTGTGTTACTCTGTTTCGGGCACGGATCAAGCAGGAATCCATTTCCGGAGTGGACTTTTGGGGGCGGTACACGATAACTATGAGACATGTGTCGTTGTGTCTCAGTCGGAGACGGCACCAGAGTGAGCCGGTAACGTGTGTTTCCAGATCATCAACTATTGTACATTGTAGATCGCTGCGGTAGTAGAGTGAGACTCCACCTCCTCTGCTGGGGCGGTCGTTCCGGATGAGTGATATTCCGGCTATCTCAACCTCAGCATCAGTCACCTTTTGGTGTAACCAAGTTTCGGTAATAGAAATTAGGTCACAAGCATTCGCAACCTGACGTAGTCGAAGTTCGGTAATTTTAGTGAGGAGCCCTTGGGCGTTAGTGTACATACATGAAAGTTTCTCAGAGTTAAGCAATGTCTCAGAAGTTGTACAACTCATACGTGAAGTTTCGCCGACCAGCGAGTAACCGGCGACTAATCGCTTTTTCGATGTGTACTCGGTGAACGGTTTAACGTCTTATTCATCGTCCGTGTAGTTAATCCCGTGTCTAATCTTCGACGTGCAGTGTAAGGTGTCTGGTCAATATAATCTTTTACAGGTTGTATGGGCTCATTCGGCATACTACTGGTGCATTGTTCTTTTATAGATCCTATCGCGTTTGGTTCTTTGAATGACATATCATCTCTAGGGGACATATCGCTGATTGTCTTCAGCCGAACCTCAGATGGTAGCTTGCAACGGAACATATACCAGCTTTTTAGCATCCGTGCTACCATATGTTTTGACTGAAGGACTACCTTCAACACTCTCGGGCCATTTCCTTTGTAGTTCGGTGAGGTACGCAGTCGTGACACGAATTTCGCTAACAAATCATCGAAGCGGAGTGTTTCCCGAAGATAACACCACTGTTCTTTATCATGGTTTGTTATTTCATTCTCATCACATGCTTCAGTTTCAGGAACCCTGTGAAGAAGTATGGTTCTTGTATAGATTCGTCGCAGTTAGACACGGACAGACAGCCACCACACATCCAGAAAAGCGCTAGACGGACGTTTCGTCCTATTGGGACTCGTCAGTAGCGCGCACCCAGCGAATCCTGCTGGATTCGAACCCACGACCTTATTCATGCGAGTCAGCGACGTATGCCACTGAGCCATGGGCGACGGCAGCGGAACGCCATGACTGATATCTAACTGCCATCGCCCATGGCTCAGTGGCATACGTCGCTGACTCGCATGAATAAGGTCGTGGGTTCGAATCCATCAGGATTCGCTGGGTGCGCGCTACTGACGAGTCCCAATAGGACGAAACGTCCGTCTAGCGCTTTTCTGGATGTGTGGTGGCTGTCTGTCCGTGTTTAACTGCGACGAATCTATACAAAAACCTT